GTCAGAATGATCGAGCTGTCACTCCTTCAGGGAAAATGCCTTCGCTGGGGAGAGACCATAGAAGTAGGAGGAATATTGATAATACTATTATGAGCTTTGCTTTGCACTCTTAGGAAACACAGCATCCAGTTGCTTAATGTGCCTTCATATCATGTTGTTTTCATCTCTTTGTCAAAACATCCCTATGGGATATTGTCAAGTGTCATAATCCTCATAGTTCTCTATTTCACAGTTGAGAAAAGAGACTTCCGGATGATCTGGCCTGACATATAATGCTGGTAACATTTACTGTTGGTCCCAGCCATTTGCCTCTTAGCATTTGGTCCCTTTGGCTGCTCTTTATCTTTGTTAGCATAGGCATTGTCTTCCCAAGTAAATGCTATGCCTCTGACCTATGTCTTCTATCAGATCACAGAATGTTAGAATCACGGAAAGGCCTTCAGTGTAATGAAACTACTGAAATACAAAATGAGGGAAGTGAGACCCAGGGAGGTGACCTAAACTGGTGAAAGAACTAAAAAAAATAAGTGTGGTCCCCTAACTTGAAGGCTATTGCTTTTTCCACAAACCTCGTTATACCTCTTTGTATGCCCCATACATAGTATACTGTCTTATGTGTATATACTCCATAGTACTACTAGGGATCATCCGTATAGCTATCCTATCTTCTTAATTGGCTGCAAGCTTTGTATAGGTGAAGAATCACAGCTACTATTTGTATTACTTTTGATTTTAACTCCCACCTACTGAGCATATGAAATATATGCCTTAAAAACCTAGAAAAAGACAAGCAAATTAAACCCTGTGCAGAAGGTGCAGGTTTGTTACATAGCTATACATGTGCCATGGTGGTTTCTTGTATCATCTACATTAGTTATTTCTTCTAATGCTATTCCTCTGCTAGCCTCCACCCCTGACAGGTCCCAGTATGTGACGTTCATCTTCCTTTGTCCCTGTTCTCATTGTTCAACTCCCACTTATGAGTGAGAACATGTGGTGTTTGGTTTTCTGTTCTTGTGTTAGTTTGCTAAGAATGATGGTTTCCAGCTTCATCCACGTCCCTGCAAAGGACGTGAACTCATTTTTTATGGCTGCATGGTGTATATGTGCCACATTTTTCTTTATCCAGTATATCATTGATGGATATTTGGGTTGGTTCCAAGTCTTTGCTATTGTGAACAGTACTGTGGTAGACATATGTGTACATGTGTCTTTATAGTGGAATGATTTATAATCCTTTGGGTATATACCCAGTAATGGGATTGCCGGGCCAAATGGTATTTCTGGTTCTAGAGCATTGAAGAATCACCACACTGTCTTCCACAATGGTTGAACTAATTTACACTCCCACCAGCAGTGTAAAAGCATTTCTATTTCTCCACATCCTCTCCAGCATCTGTTGTCTCCTGACCTTTTAATGATCACCATTCCATCTGGCATTAGATGGTATCTCACTGTGGTTTTGATTTGCATTTCTCTAATGACCAGTGATGATGAGTTTTTCTTCATGTGTTTGTTTGCCACATAAATGTCTTCTTTAGAGAAGTGTCTGTTCATATCCTTCACCCACTTTTTGATGGGGTTGTTTTTTTCTTATAAATTTAATTTCTTTGTAGATTCTAGATAGATATTAGCCCTTTGTCAGATGAATAGATTGCAAAAATTTTCTCCCATTCTGTAGGCTGCCTGTTCACACTGATGATAGTTTCTTTTGCTGAGCAGAAGCTCTTTAGTTTAATTAGGTCCCATTTGTCAATTTTGGCTTGTGTTGCCATTGCTTTTGGTGTTTTAGTCATGAAGTCTTTGCCCATGCCTGTGTCCTGCATGGTATTGCGTAAGTTTTCTTCTAGGGTTTTTATGGGTTTAGGTTTTATGTTTAAGTCTTTAATCCATCTGGAGTTAATTTTTGTATAAGGTGTAAGAAGTACAAGATCTGAATATGCCTATCATATTCTATAGGACATAGATTTTCTATATGCAAAATCATGTTATCTGCAAATAGAGATAATTTTTCTTTTTTTTTTCTATTGGATGCCTTTGATTTCTTTTTCTTGCCTAATTTCCCTGTCTTTAACCTGTAGTACATTGTTACATAAAAGTGGCAAGAGAAGGCATTCTTGTCTTGTTTCTGATCTTAGGAAGAAAGGTGTACTATCCTTTTTTCATGTTACTGCATTTGACTTACTAGTATTTTAATAAAGGCAAAATTAGTTTTAAAAAATTAACATTGGAATTAAGGATTCAGCTATTTTTCAGAAAGCAAAGATTTAAGAAAGCAGAGCTCTAGAACCAGGAATTCATGGACATGAGACCAGTGTAGTTACCCAGGGCCCCAGGTTCAGAAAGGAGCCCACATATCGGGTTTCATAAAAGGTTATCTTTGAATTTGTGTGCTATGAGTGAAAGCTGGTAGGACAATGGAACACAGGCCCAGGGCTTAAAGCCTTGCTCATGTGCTGTCTTGCCTTTAAGACATCTACCTGGGAAGATTCCTCACCCCATAACCACTGCAAGCCTCCAGTGGGGTCCTAGGTAATAGTGGGGAAGGGTTGAGGTGAGGTAAGACTGCCAGTTCCCTATAAGTGTCTGCACTCCCTTGGTGAGTATCTGTCCTAGATCCTGGGGCAGAATGGCATTTAAATATCCAACAAAAAAACACAATGACAGGTCCAAAGAGAAATGCAGACCCCCAAAAAACCGAGCTATCCTCTTGTTTCTCGAACAAAGATTTCTGCATTATCATTTAGCACAGGGCCCCACAAATTATGTAGCTGGCCTCTCTAGAGCCTTACTACTCAGCATGTGGTTGGAGGACCAGCAGCGTTAGTATCACCTGGGAGCTTATGGAAACTGCAGAATCCCAAGTCCTACCCAAACCTACTAAAGAAGAATCTGCATTTTAACAAGATCCCTGGATGATTTGTATGACATTAAAGTTTGAGAAGCAGTGGTCTAGAACACACTCTGGGATTCAGTGACCTATTGGAAGACATCTGTGTTTCTAGCCCCAATGATTTTTATTGTGATTGTCCTTTCCTTTGACATAAAGAAACTGTTTATGTTGGAAGGTGGGTTGCAGAGAGAAAGTAAACTGGCCCATAAGGAACACTGAAAAGGGAATTGCTCTCAGCACCAAGCTTTGCCATTCCTGTTGCTTGAAATCATCTTTGCCTTGTTTTTTACCCTTGGGCTTAAGGCTTAGCATCTTTCCTAGCGGCACTGAGTGCCTTGTTGAGAGGAACAATAGCCAGCTTAAAACAAATTGCAGCTCTCCTGGAAATTGCTTTGACCTTTATTCGCATAAATCTTCAGAACTTGCTTGCTCTGGAAAAGGTGGGAAAGGAGCACCTTATTTTTATTCTTGGCAGAACTGATTTTTAAGCCTGCATGTGAATGTTTTGGTATGGTATGGTTGGTGTTGTTTTGGTAACTTTTGAGGTTCTGGGAAAGATTATTGTAAAAAGCAACCAACAGGAATATGAAATAAACTTCTATGCCTTCCTCTTGCCCACTCCCCAAGCTTCTCTGGGGAAAAGTATCTGTCCTGGCCAGAGCTAGTGGGAAGGTTGGAGCTGACAGAAAGTTGCAGTGAGGGATGAGGCAGTTTTCCTCTCCAGGAAAGGGGATAGTCTCCAGGAGTGAGAGAAAGGGGAGCAATCAGTTGCTGGTACTTGTGTTTTTATCATGAAGGCATGACTGGTGAACTTACTGTGAGCAACACAGTGTTGATCTGGATGATGCCCTTTACAAAGTTTGTACCTGTTAATCCAGTATTTTTATATCTAGGGATTTAGTCTAAAGAAAGATCAGAGACTTTGGCAAAGAATTAAGTTGGAGAATATTCATGTCAATTATATCTATAAGAGCAAGAAGTTCAAAGTGGGATGTATGCCTCAACAGGTAGTGCAAAAGGAGAGCGTATGTGAGACAAGAATTTGCATTTAAACTTTTCGCATTTAGAAAATAGAAGAAAAAACTTTACTGATAGGTCAAATGGGGACTCCACCTTGCTTCTTTACTGGGTCCCTAAGTCAGGCAGGCAGATGATATGTGAAATCTGTTGAGAAACGAATGGGAATTTCATAACACAGTCTCTTCTCTCTGACATAGCAACTGCATGGATATAATTTAGAAATGATCATTAGAGTGGGCAGTTTTTTACCAATGGGGTGTGACGCACCTTATGAGAGATCTAAGGAAGTGCACAGGGAGGACTTCGCCCCCAGTTCCAGGGAGGAAAGAGCAGCACAGAAGCCAAATTGTAAATCCAGCTCTATGGATTGCCCTGAGCTCTTGTTAATGGGCCAGTTTTAGCTGCTGCTGCTGCTCCTCCTCCTCCTCCTCTTCCTCTTCCTCTTTCTTTCTTTATTTTTCTTTCTTTCTTTTTCTTTCTTTCCTTCTTCTTCTGCTGCTGCTGCTGCTTCTTCTTCTTCTTCTTCTTCTTTCTTCCTTCTTTCTTCTTCTTCTTCTACTACTACTACTATTACTATTACTACTACTACTACTACTACTATTCTACTACTACTACTACTACTATTACTACTACTACTACTACTACTATTACTACTACTACTACTACTACTACTACTACTACTACTATAACGAAGCTTATTGAAAAAGCTCCTAGTCATTTAGTCAAACATCCATATCTGCTGAAAGAGACGACCAAAAGGTCCTCAGGAGCATTTGCTTTTCTGTAGACACCCTTCCCCCTGAGTTTTCTAGGATAAAAAGCTCATCTTTTAAACAACGGTGTTTGATTAAACAATCATTTGTGAGAGAGGCTTTGTCCTGGAATGCCTTGTGCATATTAAAACTGTAAATAATCTTGTCATTGGGAATAAATCTTCTTAATGTGCATGTTGTAATTGAATTCATTAATGTAGCATTACCATGTGGCAAAGGTGGATTAGCTTCTGTTTTCTGATTGCCCTTGAACATTGCCTAGAAGTTGCAGGATTGCTGATGAAGTCAGTAAGAGCTTTGCATTGATTTTTCAGACACAAAGACCATCACCAGCATGGCTGCAGACATGTCCCCAGGACCAACAGTTTTCAACAGCACGATGGCCAAGACCAGGATGAAACGCATGAGGGAGTAAGTAGCATGTTGCCTGCCCCCTAGGAAGGTGCAGTGTTAAAGCATATTGACCAGTGTGTGACCCAGTCATGTGATACTGTCTTAGTCCATTTGTGCTGCTGTAGCAAAATACCTGGGACTAAGATGGTCCAACTTAGAAACTTCTCTCTAAAATCTACTTCTTGTATTGGTGCTGGTTGAATAGTTAGGGAAGTTTGGCAAGAATTATTTTTCAGTTGATTTGTGCTTATAGTATTCTTGCAGCACAGCATATTCTCATCCATGCTAATGTTTGAAAGCAAAGGAGAAAAAAATACTGAAAATGATTTCCAAGCCTACAGCTGTTAATATGTTTATGTATCTATTGTTTTCTAGTCCTACCTGTACCATAGTAGTCATGTATTAACATAATTACCATGTCAAGAAGTGATTCCCAGAAATTGGAAGTGAGGGAGTTTGGATTAATCTTTCCCTCTGCAGAGGGAAACTGCCTCCATCTCTCCTTGCTTGGAGGAGATCATGTAGAAGGTATTGCTAATTTCCCAGTTGATAGTCTTTAAAGAGAAGCAAAGTGGCTTGCTTATTTCACCCATAAAAGTTAACAATGTGGTGTCGAATTTTTGATCTAAGACTTCATTACTTTTGCAAAGTACACAATACCCCATTTCCTAGCATATTATGAAGTGTTGTAAATAATTAACATGAAAGTATTTTGCCAAATTAATTGGCCAAGATGCATTCTAATGATTTTATTTCTAATGTGTTGTTTTTCTTCTTATTGCTTGACTGTAATTGACCAAGTACTTTCTGGCTCACATTTTTAATGTGGGCTAATGCAGTTTGGGTTACTCTCCCATGGTATTGCTCCTCTACTGGAATAACCTGCATCCTTTTATATTTGATATTGTGAGTCCCTATGCCATCCTGGAAAAGACAGAAAGGAGATCAAGGCTGCAGAGCTGCGTATCTTTTGAGCATGTTGCGTTTTCTCAGTTTCAAAGTCTTAGAAGCCAGCCAGAGGGAGGAAATCTTGCTGCTCTTTCTCTACACAGTGATATACTATATGCTCAGCATATGGATGGCAACTATTGGGATGCCAAGAAGAACAATTAATGACATTTGTCTCCATAGAGATGATAATGTAGAGAAAATACAAAACTTCAAATGTAAAATGTTAAGTGACAATATAATAGTTATGTAATATGAAGTGATGGTTAAGAAAATTTCCCAAATGGGACCATGGCCATGAGCCAAACCAAACAGATGATGAGAGCTCTAAGGTCAGAAAGGGGAAGTTGAGAGGCCTCTGAGAGAAGTGGGGACTTTGCCTTCACCTTGGCATTCACAGAGGAATATAATTTGGAGAGGTAAAGAGAAAGGAGAAGCTGGAGGTCAGCAGATTTGGTGTCTGAGTCTTGGCTCCACTAATAAATAGCTGTCTAACTTTTGGCAAGTGATTTCCTAAGATTCATTTTTTTCATCTGTAAAACGGTCATATTAATTGCCACGGCTGGATACCCAGGAAGCATACTCAGAGATCGAGATGAATGTGTAGGACGAGGTTTGTGAGGGAGTCTTCTGGAGACCAACTCCTGTAGAAAGGAGGAGGAAGGAAGCCGACTGCTCAGGGAGAAGTCAAGCTGTGACATGGGTCACTCGAGGCCTCTGCCAACCCCACAGGAAGTTCTAGGGCTGGATGGCCTTGTAGAACTGCCCTGAGTTGGGACAAGAGGGCCTTTGTAACCCTTTGTGGGCCACTCTGGGAAGGGGCCGGGAGTGAGCAAGACGTTTACTTCTGTATTTACCAGTATAGACTTCATCTAGATTTACCAGTTAACATTTTGCCCCATTTTGCCCCATTTTTGTAATTTTTCTTTTTATATCTATCTTTATAATATATATATATACATGTACACTTATAAATTATTATTACTGATTCATTTCAGAATAGATTCCATGCATCATGATTCTTCATCTCCAAATATTTAAATGTGTAGCTTCTAAAAGCAAGAACATTCCCTTATATAACCACAGTATGATGACTGATTTTAGGAAATTTCACATCAATGCATACTACTGTTTAACATACGAACCCTTATTCAGATCTCATTGATTATCCCAATAATACCTACTATAGCAATTATCTTTCTGGTTCAGGTTACAAGCCAGGATCACACATTACACTCAGTTGTTAGGTCTCTTTGGTGTATTTACTCTGGAATGGTTCGTCAGTCATTCTGTGTCTTTGATGACACTGACATCTTTGAAGAGTGCAGGCCAGTTGTTTTGTCAGATATTTCTTACTGTGGGTTTGTCTAGTGTTTCTTCATCATGAGCTTCAGGTTATACACTTTTGGTGGTAGCCTATAGGAGTTATTGTGTGTCCTGAACTTTTTTTCAAGCATCAGTTATTTATTGGTAAAAAGAAATACTGATAAATTCAGTGATATCCAATAATAAGCAATCCTTGTGAATAAGTGACTTGACCGAGGTGCTCTGTTGATATCATTTGAGTTCACTTGGGTGTCAAGAATGGGCTACCTTGGTCAGCACCTTTGGATCTACAGACCTGTATGTATGTCATCTTTGTCATTTGGGTGACAGTCTTTGTTGACAGCAGAGCCACAGTAGTGACTTCACTAGTAGGATTTCTATTTCCCTTTACTCTTTTCTAAGCTTTCTCTTCAGACTTCACTCTACATGGAATTATGGCATTTTGAAATTCAGTTCTTTTCTTCTGAAAAATATTTCTCTACCTATAGTCAGCTTTCACTATATGGTGTTATGTGTCTTTCAGTGATGCACAAATGTGTAATTTATTTATTTATTCACTTCTATTTGAATAGATTTTGGGAGGATGGATAGAAAGAGTAACTTTTAAGTGCTGTTATTAGCTTCAAGCCTTTTTCTATGTCTTTTCTATGGAATGTTTTAGTTATCTTTATTTCACTGATACAGACATGCAAAACTATAAAATTTATTCTAGTAATTGTCTTTTGCGTATCTTCTTTTTAAAATTATTAAGTGTACTTTAGGTTCTGGGGTACATGTGCAGATCATGCAGGATCGTTGCATAGGTACATACATGGCAATGTGGTTTGCTGCCTCCATCACCCCGTCACCTATATCTGGCATTTCTCCCTATGTTATCCCTCCCCAACCTCCCTATCCCACACTGTCCCTCCCCTAGCCCCACCCCCAACAGACCCCAGTGTGTGATACTCCCCTCCCTGTGCAGGACACAGGCATAGGCAAGGACTTCATGACTAAAACACTAAAAGCATTGGCAACAAAAGCCAAAATAGACAAATGGGATCTAATTAAACTCCAGAGCTTCTGTACAGCAAGAGAAACAATCATTAGAGTAAACCGGCAGCTAACAGAATGGGGAAAAATTTTTGCAATTTACCTATCTGAGAAAGGGCCAATATCCAGAATCTACAAAAAACTTAAACACATTTACAAGAAAAAGACAAATAACTCCATCAAAAAGTGGACAAAGGATATGAACAGACAGTTTTCAAAAAAAGATATATATGAGGCCAACAAACATCTGAAAAAATGCTCACCGTCACTGGTCGTTAGAGAAACGCAAATAAAAAATCACATTGAGATTTCATCTCACACCAGTTAGAATGGCGATCATTAAAAAATCTGGAGACAACAGATGCTGGAGAGGATGTGGAGAAATAGGAACACTTTTATACTGTTGGTGGAATTATAAATTAGTTCAACCATTGTAGAAGACAGTGTGGTGATTACTCAAGGACCTAGAAATAGAAATTCCATTTGGCCCAGCAATCCCATTACTGGGTATATACCCAAAGGATTATAAATCATTCTATTATAAAGACACATACACATTATATTCATTGTGGCACTGTTTACAACAGCAAAGACTTGAAACCAACCCAAATGCCCATCAGTGATAGACTGGACAAAGAAAATGTGGCACATATGCACCATGAAATACTATGCAACCATAAAAAATGATGAGTTCGTGTCCTTTGTAGGGACATCAATGAATCTGGAAACCATAATTCTCAGCAAACTGACACAACTGCATGTTCTCACTTATAGGTGGGTGTTGAACAATGAGAACACTGAATTTTAAACAATTTAATTATAGGAAGTTGCAGCCACAGATAAGAGAAGTCAGAATAGTATAATTTTTCATAGACTAATCAACCCAACCAATTCAACAATTATCACCCATGACCAATCTTGTTTTTCTATACTTCCACCTGTTCTCTCATGTTACTTTTAAGGAAGTTCTATTCATCATATGTTATATTCTTAAATATTTCAGTAAATATGTGAATTTTAATCTGCTCTTTGACATTTTTCCTTGGATGTCAGTTAGACATCTCAAGCTCAGGATTTCCAAAAGCTGAACTCCTAAATTTCCCTACCACACCTGCACCCTCCATAGCCTTCCCCATTTGTACATAAGCAAAGGCAAGATCTAGGTAAGAAGGAATGTTCCAGCTCAGTAAGTAGTGCCTAAAGGCTTATTTAGTGTGTGACAGTTTAAGGATATCAGACAAATGACTTTATCATCTCCTCTATGAAGAAGTTAGGTGGCGACACACCTGGTGATCATACTGCCCTTCTTATCCAAGTTCTCCAAACTGGGAGCCTTAGGGCTTTGTAAGTATTAATAGATGCAGTGTCAGGCATAGAGTAGACCCTAGCACAGTGGTCAGGAGGGAAGGTGCAGGGGCGAGCTGCTGGGATTTTTCTCTCTCCTTGGCACCGACTAATATCCTTGGACAAGTTAACCAAACTCTTTGGGGCTCATCTGTAAAGTGGGACTAATAATGACTTCTACCTCATGGAGTTGTTGTTACGGTGAGTTGAGATAATGTATGAAATGCACTAAGAATAGTTTATGGCACATAGTAAATGCTCAATAAATGTTAACAACTTAGACTCTCAGTATATGTGTGGTCGCTTCATTTTGAAAATCCCCAAGCCAGGTATCTGAAGGTGTTGGCTTGTATTAGTCTGCTAAGTGA